TTTTATAGTTTAAATTTTGTAAATATTACCTTTTACATTATTTGCTATACATATTCATATTAAAATGAAAAAACAAAAGATCAAATCACGTAAGTGGCTTAATGGTCAAGTGAGACCATGACCTTTATAACCATGAGTGCTTAGAACTTTTACATCCTCAAAGCATCTTAAATTTATTTCAAGGTAAGATCGATTTTACAAAGGTTGGCTCCACCAAGGCCAACCAATGCATGTTCTCCGGATCAATCAAGTAGGGTAAAATGCTAGACCATGGAATCGGCCTAGGTGAGAGTCAATTGTAAGAATTGAAGCCGGACACTATCTTTTAACAAATTGGGTAAATCGGTTCAAGGGAAGTTTGACGTCGGTTCCATTTGATTCGAAGTAGAACCTACCATTTGCTAACCCCCTAGTGTGACTCTAATCTGAGCGTTGGTGTCAATCAACTGAAAGAGAGTTTAGAGATGAGAGCTCTAATTGAAGTCAACCCAACCTACCCCCACCCCACCCCCACACCTCCCATTTAGATATTCCCAGTAGTATGGTTTATGGCACTGTTTAGAAATTCAGACTGGACCGGCCAGTTGAACCAGTTGAATCATGACCAGGCACCTGCCAGTTCGATCATACTCCTAAAACCGGTAGTCACAAAATAAATTGTCCAAAACTGTTGGTTCATCCACTCCAACCTAGTACTGGTGAACTAATTCAGGTTTTAAAAAATTAATCTATTTTTTTTAATATAAGGGGGCATTCTTTTTCTAAATTTTGAGAGGGGGGAAAGTTGGTCAATAAGATTTTGATTCTCATTGACCAAAAATCTCATGTTCTTTTTTCATATTTATGTAGGGACCAGGGAAAGTTTATTAAGTGATACCCATCTCCTAGGTGGGTAAATAACTTTTTCACCTTGGATGAAAATTGCCAACACTTGAATGGGACAAAAATGCCCCTTGTAATAATGGATTTTTATGGTTAAAATAGTCATTGTCTTGTTTGCATGGAAAATAAAAGAACATGGGTAAATGCACTTACCCGGGTAGGTAAGTGCATTTACCCAGGTAAATAACTTACCAAAAATGAACGAGGCCTAAGTGTTTCTCAAGAAAGACTTACCCGAATAAATAATTTACCAAAAAATGAACAAGACCTAAATGTTTCTCAAAAAAAACTTACCCAAATAAATACATTTAACAGGATAAATAACTTATCAAAAAATAAATAAGGCCTAAATGCAAACTTTCAATACCATAACATTATTCTTGAATACATATATAATTTACGGGTGTTGGCCATCTTAATACTTGACCCACCACTTACACCAACTCCACTTCCACTAGCTTGTGACGTACAGTTGTTGGATTTCATTTGGACGGACTCAATTTCAGGTCGACTTAGTGCCCTAGTTCTTTTACTAATAGGGTACAAAGACATGGACCCACATTGATTGATGCCAATGGATTCATAACCACACATTAGGTCCAAGGCTTTATTACATACATGGCCCACCAAATCACTGACCCAGGTTCAGGTACATACTTGCCGATTCCATCACATGAATGATGAATCAACTCATTTTTCGCTGGCGATTGGGTTGTTTGGAAGGCAAGGACACATGCCTGGCTTGTGGGTCTGAAGTCTGAACTGAATGGTCTCTCAAGAAACCCTTTACAAGGGCATAATAGAGTAAGGGCCCGTTTGGTATATCTTTTCGTGTGGTTTTTTGGTTGTTTATAAGTTAGGAAAACCGATTTTTTGTTTATTCTCGATTGGTTCACAGAAGATTTTTTCGTGTCTTTCGAATTTTAATCTCGTGCAGAAAGACGTGGGCAAATATATGGAAAGACGCACATCTGTCAAACTGTCTTCGAACTGCCCAGATCTTATTAAAAGCTCAATGCCTTTTTTAACTGTAAGAACTATAAGATCTTTTAAAAAAGACGCATCAAACGAACCATAAATAAAGATGGATAGGGTTCTTGAGAGACCCCTGCATGCGAGATACAATTATACTACAACTGAGCTCTATTGTAAAGGTACGGACCTGAGATATATAAAATATAGGAGAATAGGCCTCGCTCGCTCTGATTGAAGGTAGAGAGACGGGTTGGCCCAATTACAGTTGAGAACAACTTGTCTTTTCCCAGCAACAACCAGAATCCAGATCAGTATAGTTGGCTTTGGCTACTCAATTTAGGCCAGTTCAGAAAGCACAATCACATACTGATCAATTTGTTGTGGCATAGAGCCCCCAGGCCACAACATGCCATACGGTGCATAAGCAGTTAGTAGTAACCAATTACAACCATGGAATATTTTCTTCTCACAGTAAGAATATATAACTGTTTACGTTTTATTCTATGTCAAAAAGCATCAAACCAGAAACCCTCTTGTAAGTTGTAACCATGTTGAGCTGATAATCACCAGGAAGAACATTTTTCATTATCTCACCCAACAAGCCTACTCAAGCCAAACCGGTAAGGCGGTAACTAGAGAGAATGAAAAGACCAACCACCTGCCCTTAGATTCCTTTCAATCAGTCATGATCACGATTTAGGATTTGTTTTTGGCTCTGTCTATTAGGCACTGACGTTGGCCTAGGATCAAGAATTTCTCCAATTTCTCTTGCTTGCAACCGTAGTATAGAAATTTTCTCCTTTTTTTATTTTTTGATTTTTTTATTCCATGTCATTTTTTAAATAATCAATGAGATGTTCTCCTTTCCTATAAAAATTTATCTAAAATCTCTCTCTCTCTCTCCTAAACTAAATAACCTTTTCTCATAACCTAAATAATCTTTTCTCCTAAACTACCTTCACCACGTTCTCATAAATACTCTCTAATTTCTATTTATCTCCTAAATTATCTCTGATTTCTATTTATCCTCTCCTCCACTTTTTATCTATGTCTATTTAAAGAAAGTTTAAATTTAAAAAGTTAAAAATTATTTAAATATTTTAACGAAATTATATAATAACTTTAAAATATTTATTAAAAAGATAAAAAATTAATTATAACAGATTTAATAATTATCATATTATTAACAATTTTATATCTTTACGAAATTTATCATGAAATTATGTATTAACAATATAATTTATGGTTTTATGTTTTTCTGATATTTCAATTTAAATGTTGTTCAAAAAATAATAACTAACATTAAAAGAATAAAATATTATTTAAATATTTCAATAATTAAATATCTTAAATAAAAAATATTAAAAATAGATAAATAATTATATAACAAATTATGTAATAACTTTAAAATAAATAAATCAAACAAAAAAATAAATTACATATTATTTAAATAATTAAATGTTTAACATAAATAGATTTTAAATGGTTAAAATAACAAAATTATGTAATAAATTGAAAAAAATCATAAAAGTAGAAAATTAATTATAACATAATACTAAATTAATAATAACTTAATATATTACAAAATTAATAACGAAATTATGTAATAATAGTATACATTATAATTTTATGGATTATTAAATTCAATAAATAATTAATATTTTAAATTTAAATATTTATATTATTTAAATAATAATATTGCAAATAACACATTTCACTTATATCAATTAATAATTATAGAAAATAACTTTCACAAAAATAATAATCTTTAAATCTTAATCTATATTTATTATATATTTATATATACTAAAATTAATATTTATTGTATTTTCAGTAATTATTTATTATTTTTTGTGATAAATATATCAATAATTACATATAAATCTACTTTTGTTTTGTTGTTTAACAAAAAATTTTCATTAATTATTGGAGATTAAATTACTGTTATTTAACTTTTTAAATTTAATTTGTTGTACTTATTGTATTTATTCTATTTTTGTTATAATTTATTGATTAATATTTATTAGATATTAAACTATTATTTTAAATTACATTATTTATTGATTAATTTAGTATTTTTTAATATTTAATGTATTGTTATAATTATTGTATTTTTATTAGTTAATTATTGTATATACATTATCAATATATTTTCAATAATTATTAGAGATTAAACTATTGTTATTACTTGGGGACGACTATTAATTTAGATGAAATTAAAAGTGTTCACGAGTTGATTTGGATCAGTTGTAGGTTATTTGGCTAATCAAATTGGCCTAGTCAAGTTGAAGAATTGGTCACCCAAAATCGACTGACCATTAGTGAAAACAAGACAACTCTTTGTATAGATTTAGGTCAATTTTTGGTTTGAATGATTGATTCAAAAGATATAAACTTAAACAACTAAATTTAAATTAAAAAATTACAATGGCATTATTAAAAATTAAATGTAAGTTATACAATTTATATCATAAATTTATACAATTCAACTATATATATACATATTTGGATCATTCGATTTTAGTCAACTTACAAATGACCAAAGTGAAATTGATCCAAGTTGGTCGGTTTCATCAATTTGATGAACAACCATAGTTGAATTTAATTATAATTATTTTTGTATTGTAAAAAATTGATTAAAATTAATATAGAAAATATAAAAAATTATTAATTATTTATAAAATAAAAAATATAAAACAATTGTACTCTAAGGTGTTTCTATTGTTTAGTTTTTGTTTAACAAATCTCCCCTCTAGTAATGATACAGAAAATTCATGAACGATCTATGACATGAGAATCGCTATTCTAAAAATTGAGCAATGGTGTTTAGCAAGGTTCAAGGGGTGGAGGAGCCCTCCGATACGCCCCTACAGTGGGTGTATCAGGGGTCTGACCGGTTACGGGGTGGAGCCCTAAACCAGTCCCCTGAACCGATTGCAAAAAAATTTAAAAAAAATGAAAAGCTGTATCAATTGTCCGATACGCCCATACTAGCGTATCGGGCGTATCAATATTTTGAACCTTCGTATTTAGATAGGCAAGCCTGAAAACCGCCACCATTAATGTGAGCTGCAAGGATCAAAATCTCCTTTCTCGACTTTTTTCCCAAACATACCATCTACCAAATAGTACCCCAAATCCAGTAGCACTAACCGCAACTCTACTTTTGTACCAAAACTTTTCGGTTTCATAGTTTTCACCTCAGTTCAGGCCTTGTGTTTATTCTTGCAACTGCCTAAAAATGTCAAGTTGCTGGGTCTTCAGAACATCCCAAATCGAGAACTCTAAACCACTACTTACCGTCATGAAAACATGCGAATGAATAGCACCTCAATAAAAACAAGCTTCTATACATGATGAGAATGGATACTCAAATATACATGTAATCCGGCCATGGGGGCAAAAATCTCCCAGGCCAATTTATGCCAGCCAGACACCCAGCTCGCTCGCTCTATTCAGTTCAGTATACTGAAAACAAAGAACAAAAGAATGGCTATAAGGAAGCTGAGCCCACCATGACAACCTGCATTGCACACCATGAAAATGTAAGCCATTGCATCAAAGAGTAATTTCAATCTTCTATCAAAAAAAAGAGTACTTTCAATCAAGGCATGCAATCAAAACAGGTTCAGCAATAAATTTGAATATTGGCAGTAAATATGATTAAAACTAATTGAAGTATTAAAGTAAATTATTACCCCATTGTGAAACACATTATATCAACTAATTTATGAGCATTATATTGCCAAGAAAATAAAGATTATTAGTATTAACTCGTTGTCTTGACTTTGATAGGATAGAACCAAAAAGCCAATTATACAAAAACCACTACATCCAGACTCTCTATGGTATTTATTACATGGTACATGAAATGTCCGACACCATTCAATGGTTTTGGGCTTAAAACTAACGCAAATATAATGGATGATCACAACTACCCAACCAAACCTTTCTATTTCTTGGTCATCCATTTCTGGTTTATCCAAAAGAAATTTATGAAGAATGGATCTATTCATCCAAAACAGGGAAGATGTTTTTGCATATATTACAAGTAGGAAAAGTGAACTGTAGTAATTGCAAAAGTCTGATACATTACCAGAATTCCCCGAGGTCTCCGATGTGGGTAGGGCAGGCAAGGACATCTCTGCAAATTTTAAGCAACAGCCATGAGGACATGTATTGCAAAGATAAATTTAAAATGCACCAAATAAAAGTATTGATGTCATTTTGGTATATGTTAGAAAAGTTATATCATTAGATTATATTGAAAAAATTCCTACAAAAAAAACGTAGTAAAAAAGATTCGTTTTTGATAATTAGCCAAGGTAATACTAGTTACCAGGAGCACAAAGGGACAGGGATGAGAGTGACGATGACGAAGGCCATGGTGCAGCAATATTGTCACTCAAGTCACATGTAAAGCTAACACCAGTAGAATTATCAATAACCACATCTGCAGGCAAGCTTCGAAGTAGGCACCCTACATTCAGATAAATTTTAAAATTTAAATAAAATTTAAACAAAAAACCAAAAAAAGAGCATCATAATTCCTATTCTACTCGTACTTTGATAGTTTGATTATGAAACTCTAGACACAATTCAATAAGACCAAAGATAACTACTAGATTCTGAAGTTGGTTATGATTAGAAAAAAAAAAAACCCTAAACAAAAGCTACCCAAAAATAAAAATGCAAAAGTAAAATACAAAAAATACAAAATGGTTATATGTTGATTCAATGTTTTAAAACTCAGAGGCATGACACAGAATTCCACTACCTAGAGGCATGAGGCGTAGTTCAGAATGTAAGAGGCATAAACCTCCCGAACACAAGGAGGTGTAAGCCTCCTTAATAGGAGGGGGGGTCAGGAGGAAGGAGGAAGGGGAGGAGGACGAAGAGGAAGGGGGGATCTCATTTTTCCTTTTCTCTTTTTTTTTCTTCTCTTTCTTTCTTTTTCTTTCCCTTCCCTTTCTTTTCTTTTCCTTTCCTTTTTTCCTTTTTTTTTCTCTGAGGTGTGCATGAGGCGCATGAGGTGTATGCCTCTAGCACGCCTCATGAATGAGGTGTAGGCCTCAGAGGTGTCAGCGACTCTGGGCGTTTGAGAGCACCTCGCCTGGAGTTATACACCTCCCATGCCTTTTAAAACACTGGTTGATTCTAGGACCACAGTAATGCCCAAATGGTACAAAGGAACAGTGCATGCAACAACAACAGGAAATGAAGGAACATGTTTGGCAGCCTTGCGCCTTCCCTGAATGACATATTAGTTCACCATGCATCCAGCACCAATGTTTTTAAACCGCCGTTGACCCAGACGGTCCGTTGAGACCAGGAACCGTCCAGGCAACTGGTTATGTTTTACCCTAAACCTGGCCACTAGCCAAAAACTGTTGAATTGGTCAGCAACCCACTGACCCATGTGATCGAACCGTCAACCCATTTGACTCATTCAACGGTTTTTGGCCATTTTTATTTTAATTATTTTTTATTTTTTTGTTGGAACGGGCCATCCATTCAGACAAACCAGACCAGATGATCAAACCGTCGACCCAGAAACCGGTGGCCAGAACAGTTCCAGTTCCAGGTCAGTTTTTAAAACTTGTCCAGCACCAATAACGTTGCAAGAAGTTGTGAACTAATGCGTCATGCAGGGAGGTGAAACTTCAGTTGTTCAACGCAACACTGTCAGCATCCATTTGACAGAGGAAACAAGATTATCATGTGGTGCCTGAAAGACACACTAGAAATCTGACCTTATCCATGTCAAATAGATCATAGCAACCCATCCATCAAATAATCTTGATAATAAAAAATAGTAACTGGAAATGCATCAATAGGATTGTTGCACCCATCTGGACAGATTAATATTTGATGTTTAACCAAGGTTGGATTAGCTGAACACCCCACACTGTTAAGCAGGCTGTGGAAGTCTGGAAGATATTGTAAGAATCCACATAACCTTCACGCATTGAGCTCCATTCCCATGTACGAGTGCTTTTAACGGAGACTGATGGGAGTGAATTAAAATTTTTCATTTTGTTTTATTTTATTTTCTTCTTGTCTTGTGCCCTAACCCCTTTTCTTCTCTGGTTCTCCCCTTCCTCTTCCACCTCCACTCACTACTCCACCCTGCCAGTCACTCCCAGGAATCCCAGTTGTCATCAACCTTCACCACTGGTGCCCTCCCTCCCTCTCCCTCTAGCCCCAGGATCTGGTTTATTTTTCCACAAAGCTCTTGGCATACAATTCTGTGATGATCAGTTCACTCAAATTCTGAAGAGTTTCTCAACCAATCATAACTTTTTGGCTGTGTTTGGTTTGAAAGAAAAGGTAGGGAAAGGAAGAGAAAAGTAGGGAAACCTGTAAAAGTTTTTCCCTTCCTTTTCCTACATTCTTTTTCAAACCAAACACAGCCTTCCAAATACACACTCCAAAACATTAGTACATCCACAATAGTAATTGGAAGGACCCACAAGATCAAGAAGGCAGGCAATCTACTGCAGAATTCTTGTCACAACTAGCCAGGAAAAAGCAAAACTCCCTCTGCGATGCTATTCCTGGTAAGATGCAATTAATATCATCATCACTTCATCCCATATTGGTCAGAGCTCCAATGGTGCACCAACGGAATCTACCAAAGAAATGGTGTCTAACCCTCAGAGATTACAACTTTTCATCCTTACAATTACTTGGTTCTTCGTACTCTGAACAAGCTTGAGAGTCAAGACACTATTATTGTTGAAAAAAGGGAGAACAAGAGGCTTCCTTTCAAAAATTTACTTTAAGTCACACATGTTGAATTTCAGGGACAAAAGAAGATGAACAGGATAGGGCCTACCAAGAGAGAGAGAAGAGGGGTGCTGGTGATGGAGGTTGAGAGCAGGACCAGCAGGAGGGGAAGGAGGAGGGGGAGGGCAAAGGTGGACGAAACAAAGAAGGGGTCACTCTTCCAAATGGGATTTCCTACCCACTCTCTACCGATCGTGAATTGCAGCCACACATTTCTATTATGAATTGAGAGATGTGTGGCTGCAATTCACGGCAGGTAGAGAGTGGGTAGGAAAAGTGAGTAGGAAATCTGGGTTCTCACTCTTGAACCCATTCCCATCAATCTCTGCTTAAGAGACTTGCACAAGGGAATGGGGCTCCACGTATAAAACTTACATGGAGTCTTGTGGTTGCTCCCACAGCCTGCTCAACAGCATAGAGCGTTCAGCTAATACATACTCCGTATCCTAGATTTCATCCCCTATGTGACTGCATAATAAAATCCAAAGAGAACCCAACACATTACTAGGAGAAAGGAAACTTTCAGCATAGCAGTAAAATAGCTAAAAAATATGGAAAGAAATATATCTCAGCAAAGAGGAAAGTAGCAAACCTTGTTCTCCGTATGCTGATCCAGTAGCAATAAACACATTAGCAAAACAAAAAGATGCTTGTCAGATATACCCAGAGTAGAAAAAGAATTAGAAATCCTAGCAAAGAAAAGAAAAGATTTTATACCCTGAAGACTGAAGTCCTTCAAGTCAACATCACAAAGCTCATAGATATTTGTCATGACACCACCTTTCTGCAACAGGGACCCAAACAATGTAGCACAGTTTATGGCTTGCCTATTTGTAATTAACATTTGCTTCTGTATTCCTGCTATGTATGTATTCAATGAGCTACAGCAGGAAGGATTGGGAGATGCCACGTCACGGCAAGCTTTAACTACTGCTGATGGCTGTTCAAATTCCAGAGGACAGACTGCATGTAAACATCATTTTGTCCAGTTAGAAGGACAATTCATAAGCATATCAACTGCCTTACATAGAAACCACAATAATCTACAACATGCACTTTTTTGGATGAGTATCTATAATATTCGTTTGTGGGATGCTGCATTGAGCTTTTCCTTTGAGGACTTGGAAAAAGATAATCCTAAGTGCATGTGTCAACCGTTTGCGGCCAGACAAATCAAAAATAAATCTTACTGCCTCTGCAGTGCAAGCATATCAAAAGAAAAATGTTTTAAAAAGTGCAATGGTCAATCAACTAAATGAAGTTCCAGCTTGGTCCAAACCTGCTTATCTGTTAGGCCTCGTTCATTTTCCGAGAAGTTGTTTACCCGAGTAAGAATTACCTGGAGAAGTGTTACCTGGGTAAACACATTTACCCATGTTCTTTTGCCAGGAAATGTTAGCTGGATAAGCGAGTCAATTTCCCAAAAGACCCAACTTTTATGGTGTCAGATTCAAGAGAGATAGAAGTTCCAGTTGCAAAAAGAAGTGGAAAGTTGGAGGTTGACGAGGAATTTGAAGAGGTTTGATAGGATGAAAATTTTTAGAAGGCTGTTAGTTTTAAATATTAAGTTTTTAAGATTCCGGTGGAGTTGGGATTGAATTTGGAAGTTGGTTCATGTGGGTGATTTCTTATCACCTATTGTTGTATCCTTTCCTTCTTTCTGTTCTTAATAAATTTGCTTTTTATTTATTATAAATAACTTAAAAAACAAGACTCAGGCCCTTTGAAATATTTTCAAGAGATTTAAGTGGCACGATCCAAAAGAAGACACTTATACTAATGCAAGTATGTCTTCGATCCTTTTTTTTATAAATAAGTATATCTTCAATCTTCTCAAGGAAACAGCAAAAACTTGGTTCTAGTCCTATTGAGCTGATTTCAAATGTCGGTATGTTCCAAGGATAGTTGCTCACAATCCAGTGCAGCATGATAGGACAAAATGCTAATGTTCTCACTTCTCACAAATGCTGTGGGGGAGATGCAGTTTTTTATTATTCTTAGCAAGCTACACATGTATAATATCCATGCAGAAAATTGAGATGGAGTATTGTAGTAATGTATTGGGGATTGTATACTAAAGGTATTATTGTAATTGTAGTTATTCTTTTCTTAACGAATAAGAGTTGGAATAGGCAGCTGATTAGCCATTCCATGTTTTCCATTCTACTGGCTCTTTCTCTTCTTCTCTCCTATTCTTAGCTGCTAAAATTCAGCAAACTACTAACCCAAAAGTTCCTCTCTTTGAAATATGGACTAAACTACAAATTTGAGCATGCTAACAAAGACAAATAGAGGTACAATAGAATGAAATAAAAGCACAAAAAGAAAATGATCTGTTTAAGGAAGCCAGCAACTGTGTAAAATGAAGCAGTTGAGGAAAACAAGGGAAACAAGGAATATGAATATGCAGAATCATCATGTATAATACCTTTGTTAACCTTGCAGGCAGATAATATTCGGAATGCAGTATTGGCAGCATCCAATGAGAGCTTCCTAGATAACCATGAATATACCACCCATTTACAATCATTGAGAACACTCATCTCATTGGGCAATCCTACTGCACCAGCATCTGCTGTGATAGCAGATTCTCTTGTCGAAATGCAAAGTGCAGCGTCCATAATTGCAGGCTGGCAAACTGGTCTGCAGCACTCCTTAAGTGGATCAACAATGCTACATGCATCCAACAATTTGCTTGTGTTTACCATCTTCTCAAAGGTGGCCACATCACTCACAGGACAGGACCCAGCAGTAAGGTTAGACGATTTTACAGAGCAAAGTGCAGGTATCGTATCATTTGCCCCTCTGCTGGCTAATATACTAACAATATCTGAGAAACAATCATTAGCCACTGCATTTTCCAGAACTAGCTTATTAGAGCTTCCATTATAATGACCTTGGAATATGTGGAGCAAACTACTAAGTTGAGGACAGCAGATCACATTGCCTACAAGTGCCGCTAATGGTGCAGCGCAATCATGTGCTGTTTTGTCCATAACATTTGAAATAGCAGAAAAATTTACAGGGCATCTTCCAGTCAAGACTGGTTCGTATGTGGTCGGAAAGGAAGGGTACATGGGTGACAATGGTTCACCAGGAAATGGATAATGTGGTATGACAGCAGGTGATATTTCTATGGGACCAAAAAGTCCACTATTGGGTGGGTCAGCAAGAACAAACTTTGGAACGTGAGAACTAGGCACAAGTGGAGCCTCCAGTGCCACTACATCTTGAATGGATAATAAAATTGAAAACAATATGAATTGGCGGCACAAAGTACCTGCAAAGAAAGGCAAAGGAGAAAATGAAAACAAATCAAAATATCAGATTAAAAGAAGACAATCCAAGAGTTATTGGATTATATTTTTATGAACAGCATTCATTGACATCAAGGCCATGGTGTTTCCAAGCAAATGCATGTAAACAGCAACTAAACACGTCAGACAGATAGATGGAAAGAGTTACAAGCACCAACTTACCAACTTAGGACTAGTAACCAGTTACTCAATTAAGACACCCAACCAAAACATTATAGTGGAATATGCTGAGTTGATGACTAAATTAGCAATACAGAGAAACTAAACACTTTTCTTCTCTCATTGAAAAGCGACTATCATCTCTCCTATTAGCTGTTTTTTTCTTTCATGACGTGCCCATACAGTCATGAGCCCTCCCTGTTTTTCTTTAACTATCTCTCCACAGTTAAGTTCCTGCAGTTTAGCTGAATGACTCATCGCTTTGTCTTTTAGTTAGTCATTTATTAAAGTGGTCATGAGCTCCTTAATGGTTGAAGCTGAAGTTGGGTTGATAAGTATATTTCAAATATTTTATTGTTTAACTATTTTAACTACTAAAAGATAAAGCAACAAATCATTCAATTCAGCCAGAGCCACAACCTCTGCAGCCATTATCAAATGACTCCTTGTTCTTAATATGAACACTAAATTTTTAGACCTAGTCATATCTGTAAGCAAATTATAGTATAGCACATTCCTTTTTACAATGAGTGGCTAATCCAAGTCATTATTCAAAAACATGCACATTTTGAAAGACAAGAATGCCCTATATATTGAATTTTACCATCAAAAAGTAGAAAAGGGTGGTTCTTTGTTTTATCAATAGTGATAATATTATGACTGGTTTACCATATATCAGATATGCCCATATAAGTTCCAGATTAAGATTCACCTAATTTTGATAAAAGTGGTGAAATAACAAAGCAAAAATCAAATTAATTGCAAAAAAATAAACCACTCCATAACCAAGTTAAAATGCTTACCCTTAAGAGAAGTAACCAGCCTAAAACGGTCCATAGCTATACTAACCCTTCGGCAACATTTAGTCAACCAATGAAGTGCCTGTGGCACTTAGAATCAGTACAAAAACCCAGTAAAATAGCACCTGTACCATACACAGCTTTAGATCAAAAGAGGGGGGAAGGGTTTGGAAACAAGAAGAGAAACACACATACAAGATTACATAATTTATGGCACACGATAACAATAATCACTTTAGAAATAAGAAAAAAGGAATTTAAGAAAGAGATGTCATTTTGAGGATCCCTCCTCAAAATGTGTTAAGTCTCTTTAACTTAAAAAAAGGAAGAGTAATGTGGAAGGCAGTTAGAGCAGAAGTAGTGCGGACTATTTGGGAAGAAAGGAATGGGAGAACCTTCAAAGAAATAAGTAGGTCCAAAGAGGAGTTAGCAGAAACCATAAAAATCAAAGTGGAAAAATGGGTAAAAACTATGGAAATTTTCCAAGATTTTTTAGTGAATGATGTAATAAGAAAATGGTCTGAAGTAGTGCAATACTCAAAGGCAAAAGACAGGTTGGTTATGAAATGGCAATATCCTCCAAGCAACTTTAACTTTCATGGGAGTTCTATGGGTAAGCCAGGCCAGCAGGTATTGCGGAGTTGTTCAGAGACTCCATAGGAAGGGTGGTGGGTCCTGAAAGCTGAGATGATGGCTTTATTGCAAAGTCTATGACTAGCAAAGCAATCAGACTTTCGAAATCTGGAAGTAGAGGACTCAAAATTAATCGCCCGTTGCAAAACCCCTTGGATATATAGGCAAGTTTTCAGGGAGATTGATTGTGTATCAAGCAAATTAAACACTTGCTACTTATGGGTCAGAATGGAATGGTGGGATTCACTAGCCAAACATCGGGTTAATAGACAACAGCTATTTTAGGCACTAATGTAAATCTTATGTATTTGAGCGGTTGTAATATCTCAACCAGATGTACTAAAATTCTCTCTTTGAATTAATAAAACTTTCTTCTCTACTGATCAAAAAATAATAATGATGCCATGTAGGCAAAAAAGAGAATATAAGAGAATCCATACTCCCCAAAACCATTTCTAAAAGATTCTATGAAACATTAAAGCATGTTTGAATGCATCAAGAGGTAAGAGATATCAATAAAAGAAGCAAAAGTTAAAGAGATACAAAACAATCATTTTTTTCTAGTCAATGTAGAACAAGAATGAGAAAATTTCTACCTACTAGAGATGTACATGATGTGTAATAAACTACTTTGATCATTTCAGGGGATATTTTCAAATATGCATGATTTTGTTCTTTAAAACAAACAACTGCAAGGAATGAGACTATGTTTGTCTATTTGCAAATTGCAAATATGCATGATTTTTTGCTTTTACAGATCTATATGAGAGTTGTTGGGTGAGTGGATATACTGACTAATACTAACTGCATAAAAGATATCACGTCTAGTCATATACAAACATTTTTTGCATTTTTATTTTTTGGCATTGTTTTGACATTTTTTATTTTTAGCAATTTTTTGTATTTTTGCACCTTGCTTCAAAAAGGTGTGTGCCTTGCCTTGCCTTGCGCCTCAAGCACAAATTGGCCCTTGCGCCTTGCGCTTTTAAAACACTGATACAAATACAAATATGTAGGGTGAAAAGCCTTATATTTTATATCATTTGGTATGTATTTACACTGCATATTTATATTTGTACTCTCTCCAAAATGAGTCTAAGGGGCTTACAATCCTTTACATTTATCTTATAATTCAACTCAATTGGTGTATCAACTGGTTTAACACCCAACTCCCCTGTTTCTTTAAGAAGATCAAGGGCATATTTCCTCTAAGAAACAAATATATCATGTTTAAACCAAGTAACTTCAATACCAAAAAAATACCATAGTTCATCCTAATTTTTCACCTCAAACTCTTTATTGAGTAACTACTTTAAAGAACCAATTTCAACTACATCATTACTAGTCAACACTATATCATTCATAAGAAGTATCAATTAGGATCCACTGCTTTTGATAAAGAGGGTATGATCTGTGTGTGCCTATACATTGCCAAACTTACCCTATGCATGTTTAAATCCGCAAACCATGCCCTTGGAGATTGTTTCAACTCATATAAGGATCTCTTCAACCAGCATACATTCTTCCTTGTCTCTTCTTGCAAGTGCCCATTAAGAAATGCTTTTTCACATCCATTTGAAATAACGGCCAAGAGAAACTAGACACAAAAGATAACACACTAATAGTACTAATCTTGGTTATTAGAGCAAAGGTTTCCAAACAATCAATGGCATAAGTCTGTGTATAGCCCTTTGCTACCAGTCTAGCCTTATATTGTTCAACTAAGCCACCTACATTGTATTTAACAACAAACACCCACCTACACTTCACTAGCTCCATCCATCTGGATGGTCTACCAACTCCCAAGTAAGTATTGTTCTTAATAAGAAAATCCATCTTCACTTTCATAGAATCTTTCCACCTAGGCACCGGCAGAGCTTCATGCACATTTCTAGGAATGGAAATAGCAAAAACAGAATTTGTCAAAAAAAAAAAAGCAAAAACAGATGCCAAATAGGAATGGTAAGATGGGCATATAGGGAGAGAAGGTCATAGGAAAGAATTTGAGAAATGCAATGGGCTGTAAGGATAGTATAGCAATGTTTGCCCTCGCATAGTGCAGTAGGAAGATCAATATCATCAGAAGAAGGTGAAGGAAAAGCAAAAATATGTAAGGGTGAAGTCAGCACGTGATGTACCAGAACCCAGCAATAATGCTGACTGAGGCAAACTATGAGAACCACAATGAACCTGTTGCTGCCTATGCCTTGGAAACATCCATAACTCATGTAACTCCATACATCCCTCCCGCGGATCACTTGAACAGGTAATGGAACATCTGCAGCAAAAATGACTCTCTCACCACTCTCCCATTGATATCGAACACCAGGATAATAGGGAAGATAGTCAAAGTAAAAGATATTCATGTACACAACCCAAGTCAACAGTTTTGATTTTGTGCATAACCTAGAAAGATGCATTTAGTGGCCTTGAGATCAAATTTTGAGAGATGAGGTCCTAGTGTTTGGACAAATCCTTATCAATACATAGAAGAGAGAAAGGGGTTTTCATATCTAGAACCCGTGAAGACATTCTATTAACAAGGAAAATTACTATTCGAACGGTGTCCCCCAAAAAATGTATAGGAATTTGGAAGTTAGGAACATGAGAATTCAGCATAGTACTCCTAGCCATCTCCAAAATATGTCCATTCTTCCAATCAGCCACTCCATTTTGTTGAGCAATATAAGAATAGGTACTCTAATGGATGACTACATGTTCAATAAAATAGGAACTCAAAGGTTTGGTGAAGTACTCCTTGACATTATTAGATCTAAAATTGTAATATGGGTCCCAAATTGTGTGAGGACCATTTGATTGAAATGACAAATCAAAATGGGAACCTCATCTTAAGAACACATAAGATATACCCAAGAAAATACGAGAATAGTTATCAACAAATAGCAAGAAATACTCATATCCACACAAAACTATAGTATGTCAAGGCCCCCAAACATCGATACACATAAGTTCAAAAGGAGAAATACTTCTTTTATTACTCAATGAATAAATTGATCAACAATGCTCAGCAAATTCACAACTTTCACACTTCAAACTTGACACTCGGACCAACTCAATCAACTTAGGAGACAAAACCCTCAATGACCTAGACGATAATGCCAAAGCATAATCTAACTCACTAATTAAGAAATTCTCACTCCCAAGGCTAATCACCTTCTTTGTCACCAAATCCTAGAAGACAACAATGATGAAAAAAGAAAAACTACTAAACAATTCTAGGGCTTAGACTTAGTCAAACTGCTAATTGAAAGAAGATATGTATTAAGTCTGAGTACATGAAGGGCTAAAGAAAGGGTAATGTGACATCAGGCATCTTAAATGTCTCCCTTCCTAGAAATAGGAACAAATGAGACATCAGAATAGAAACTTTATCTCTGCCAGATGATAACTCATACAAAGTAAATAAGGATGAAGTTGGTCATATGGTTATGGGCACCTGAGTCTACTATCCAAGAAACACCAATGTTACCTTACCTAACACCAAGGTTCAAGGTATCAATACACCCCAATATGCATGGGCATGCACATTGGGTGTTTCCATCACTTTCTCCTTTTTTTTAATTTTACAGGGGTCAATCTTAGCAAATTGTGTCCACTCCAAATAATTAACTCCATCTAATTTAACTGTTGTAATCTGAGAATTTGCACTTTCTGTCACACCACCAGCCCCTAATATAATCCACAAGTAGAGCCAACAGTACAAAAGTCAACCAAAAAACAAGCAACCACTCTGTCTGAAACTTATACTGAATAAAACAGAGGGAAAACAAAGGGAAAACGGAGTAAATCCAACTGTAAACACCAGCTCTGTTCTCCAAGAGTGAAACAGCACCTCTGATCACTATTGGTATCCTCTCTACAGGCAAACACAACAGCAACCACTCCAGTGTTTTAAAAGGCACGCCTAAGCGCATAGGAGAGGCACCTCGCCTAGGTCCTAGGCGCAGCCCTTACAAAAGGTGCACGCCTGGTGCACCTAGTGCCTCAGCCCAGGCGTGCACCTTTTGAAACTTTGACGCTTTTTTGCTTTTTTTGTGTCTAGCAGCTGGGCCGGGGGTGGGGGCCCCCTATTTGGTAATGTTGTTCATTTATTCATCATAATAAAATGCCTTCTTAAAAAAGCAATTAAAACTATAAAATCGTTATTTTTGTATGAGAACTAAGAATTTAAGACCTAATGTGGACTTGTTTGGGCTTGCCTCGAGGGGCGTGGTACAAAGGCGGCTCGTAGAATCAGGAATGTAATATGTTTTACATCACACTAGCTACTTGAAGTAATGCAATTGAGAAAAAAAAGAGATTGTGGGTTTTATATGCTTGAAAATGTTTTATATATTTGATTTTATTTTTAAATTCTCATTTGAATATGCTTTACATGTTATATTATGTATTTTAATATTAGATAATAGGTTTTTAAAACATTTATTTTAAAATTAAAGTTTATATTTTTATAAATATTATGTTTAATAATTTTTTTATTTTTTTAATTTTTTTGGCATTATTTTTTATTTTTTAGCCTTTTTTGTTTTTGAGCCTTGCTTAAAAAGGAGCACGCCTCGCCTTGCGCCTCATGCGCAAATTGACCCCTGCGCCTTGCACTTTTAAAACACTGAATCACTCCAAAAGAAGTCTTAGACCACTTACAGCTCCAATTCTGGGTTGTCCTTGGCAAACCCCAAACAAGAGAACGTAGACAAAAGGAAAACTTCCAGCCGCTCATTCCAGGTATAGTCAAACCATCCGAAACTGAGATTGAGCACTAGAATAGATCAAAACAGTCCAGAAAACTCTAGAGGCACTCTCATCAGTGGGAGGTTGAATTTTGGTCGCTTTGGCCTATACATCCAGTCATCGTCTCATGTACACAACATCCTCCCCTTTCCTTGTTTTGGTTTGAAATGAAAAGTTACCCTTTTCTCGGAAAGAAAAAGATAATAAAAGAAAAGTCATCACTATGGTTGTGGTTCATTTTTTAATGTAACCTCTATTTCCAAAATATCAAGAAATAAAATAAAGGTGTGGCAGTATTGCAATTAAGTTCTTAGTTCCAAGTTGGGGCTTGGACTAAAAATTCCAAAGTTTTTAGTTGATGAATAACAGAAATCTTCTTTTAAAATTTTATGAAGACCAATTGCAAAGATACACCCATTAAGAATGTTAGCCTCACAAACCCTCGAGGCTCTTACAACAATTAACAGAAATACAAACAAACCCATTAAGTAGTACAACACAATATGGAAACCCAAACCAACCCTCAAGTTTTTCCCCATACAATGTACAAAGTGGGCCCAGAATAGGTGATCTCTATAAACCCTTTGTTTTGCAAGATGGTCTGCCATGCTATTTGCTGATCTTTGAACCCATTGTATCTTCAACTGCATGTCTCTTGTGAACCGCTTGATCTTTTTAATTTCATGTCCGAACTCCCACAAAGCTTTCTCTGTTTTCAACAACCAAATAACAATCTTAGAATCTCCTTCAATTACGAGTTTGTCCACCCCCAATTCCATAGCCTTTTGCACCCCACACACTATTGCCATCAGCTTTGCCCTTGTGGAGTCCCCTTGCCCTAGAATTTCCTATGGTTTTGAACCAGATGTTCATTTATTCCTCACTCATATCTTCCCATTAATTACATAATGCCAAAGACAGACAAGTTTCCAAATTCAATGATAGTCAGGTGTTTTGTCCAAACAGCTTTGCTTGATAAAATATTAAAATCATAAGACCATACTACCTTAAAGGTTTGATAAATCATTTTGTTGTTTCTTTTGATTAGTGGTTCAAGAATACAACACTTTTCTAGCAGAAAATGCTAGAAAAAGATCGCACAAAGACCACCAAAAGATGGAAGAAAACCTATAGTACAAAATACAAACACTACACTTGAGAATCTAAACATAATGTATGCCTCTGAAACACACTTCTAGCCAAGATATCAATCATATGGTTAGCCAACTGCAAGATCCATCTAAGTCTATTCATTTTGGAAGCCAATTCCTTCACTGTTCTGTTATGAAGCCAAAATGACCAACGACCAGAAAATCATTATCCGTCAAAGTAATCACCACCTGTCAATCCCCCTTCATCTTGAGCGCCTCAAAACAAAGGAAACCAACAATTCTAAAGCCTAGAGAAGAGATAAAATTTCATCCCTAATAGCATAATCCTATTGCAGATTGGCCTAGATAAAAGGAACCTATGAGATAGTAGTCCCAAGATGAACCAAAAATCAAATGGGAACAAATTCCACAAAGAGAAACCATCAAGATTAGGCTCGATAATTCCCAGGGGATCATCTGCTGTCTCCATGCTATCAGAGAACCATTTATCAAGCAACAGCTAGGCCACCCCGTGACAATCAAATCAATGGAGATATCCTTAAGTTAATCTACCATCTAGATTCAATGTTCCACTCCAACTGATAGGATATCATAATTTTCTTGTTTGCCGAGGGGCAAGAACAAAAAACTAGAATTTCTCTCTTCCCATGTGCTCCAAAGAATAATCTTTCCCAAAGTCCCAAACCATCAAAATTGAACTCCACACTGTCTGAGAACCATCAATATAGCAACAGCTTGATAGCCCCTAATAATCAAATCAATGGAGATGCCCCTAAAGTGCATCTCTTGTCTAGATATAATGCACAACTCCAATAGTAATTAAATCCAATAAAATATCATAATTATTCAATGTGTAGAAGAAGAAATCCTCTACTCCCATATACTCGAAAAAAATAACAACTGGGAACATCTCCACATGACCTTTCCATCAATGAGGCAGAGAAAAGCTTGTATCAAATAGGCTAGGGATGTAAATGCCTAAATGGAGAGAAAGGGTTCAAACAAATAGCATAGGCTAAACCCACATGTTTGTTGCACAAAAGCAAGGGATGAAGAGATGATTGAATTACCTACCTACCCTTCTTGCACACTTTAGGAAACAAGGCTGAAGTCTTTCAACTAGTTGGCATCTAATCTTTTATACGCTACATTTGGGGCAAGGGAAGTTATATTAGAACCAGAATCATCATGACTCCAAGCCATACCAATTGCCAAATCTAACTAGTTGCATCCTTGCTTTTTGTCTAGAAGGGAATACATTTTTTAGTGGTCTCCAAACTTCTCCCCCCCCCCTTTTCTCACTAATGATGGTTTTCAAGTTGTTCATATCTTAGGATACAGTACTCATTTCAAAATGGTGTTCAACAGTTTAAGATCAATTATTGTTTCAATTATGTCAAATACATTAACATTCTAACCAAAGCATCAGGATGAATCCAGAATAATTATTGCCTGAAAGTTATAAAATATTATGTCATTATCTTCATTCATAAGTTTTCCTCTGAGATGGACAAACATGTAGACAAAGATTAATTCTAAGATACCATCAAATGTTTCTTCTGTAAAATTCTTGAGCTCTGTCACCCAAGTACAATTAACCCATTAGTTTTCGCACTTGCATCCATCTCTATCAAGCTGATATGTTTTTTTTTCAATACTTTGTCAGTATGTCCATATATGTCTTTTATTCCAAAATGGTGATAGAAAATACTCGCTAAACATTGTGAAGTAGGCCCTAGCTTCTATAAACCACATTATCTAAAACTCTAACAGTATAATCCACAAGGTATGCTCAAATAATCATCTACTGTAGATTTCCGAAAATTAAACAAATGGCATGACAAAGACAGCAAAACAGTGATCAGTCAAAACTTGGATCATCGTACCCATAATCTATATAATGCTGGTAAATAAACTTTAAACGGACCAGAGGACACTAAACTAAACCAGGTTGTAAATACAGATAACCAAATAAAAGCTATATTCTTAAATAATTTCCTAGTGCCAAAAAGAAATGACCATCTAGCTGCTGAAATCACAAAAGAAAAAGACCTGAATCGAAGGATTCATCAAGTTTTCTTCCTATGTTCACCATTAAATCTGGAAATGAGACTCCAAGCGACCCAAACATCATAATCAAATCAAGAAATCAAATTTCCTCACTAGTGAGTAACTCTACAGTGAAATTTGCAAGAGAAAAGAATAAGTACCTGTATTTACGGATCAAACTGTTGAAATGTGGATTCAGAATCTACAACGCGTTCCCCTTAAACCTGCCTTGAGCTTCTTTCTCTGCAACTCCCTCACCTCCCCTCCCCCCCACTTTTGAGTTGTTACACTCCCGGATTCCAAAGTTCGAACGGGAATTTATTTCTGCTCCGCGAACTGTCTGTGTCGAGTTCCTCAATAACCTTCCATTCTCTCGCAAGTCATAACACCTGAATCTGAATCCGGTATACATGTATGTTAGAAACCCCACTGGTAAACTAACTTTGGTACCCTGGTTACACAAACTTATTCTATTGGAATCAAGTAAACAACTTTTCAAGTTCCATTTTATAAAAGAAAAAGAAGAAAAAAGGAGCGAAGCCCCCAGTTTTCTACTTTTTTACCCAGGAGAAGAAAGGAGGAGGCGGCCTCCCATTTTCTACTTTTTCTTCAACACAGAAGAAGCACTAAGAAGAAAAAGAAGCGGAACAAGAAAAGGAGAGAGGAGGGCCCCATTTCCTACTTCTTTGACGCAGAGCAACAGCAGCAGCAGAACAAGAAGAAGAAAGAAAAAGGAGAAGGAGTTTTACCTCAAGCCGATCTCTCCTGATTGACAAATTGTTTCTTTGCCTGAATTTCTTAAACCACCGAAGCTCTTCTTCTCCACTCTCACTCTCAGTCTCAAGACAAAACCAGTGAGCCAAGAGCCCTAAACGATCTGCTTTTGTTAGCAACCCTTTTATTTTTCTAATTATTATTTTACCTTTAATATTCACAATCCAACGGTTCTGATTCTCTTACAGGATACCCATCGAGGATCACGCCTTTTACAAAAAGGAGAACGCCTCTCATATTCTGCGGTCTACTCAAAGCGGTTGTTGAGGCAAGGCGAATTTTTTAGGCCTACGCCTCTTTTGCCTCGCCTCAACAGGAATTTATTTCGGCTCCATGAATGTCCGAATGTCTGTGCGACTATGCCGAATTCGTCATATGCCCTTCAGTTTTCAATTAAATTACAAAACTATCCCTTCACCGGTTCACTTTGCGTACATGGGAGCCAGGAGCGTATTGGGTTGGGGCCGGTTAGATGTGAATTGGGCCCACATGATTCTTCGATGGATCTTGAGCAATGAAACATGCCACGCGTTAAATGTTCGAGAAGGGGCCCACCACTAACAAAAACCAACTTAGGAGATTTTTCGGTGATAAAAATGAGCAGACAACTTTTTTGTCCACCGTCCAATCGGATATCTTAAACGCTGTGAATCTCCTGATGGGGGACCCCTTAAATGGGCCCCAATTATTTCATATTAAAGAAAGATTTTTTTTCTTAAAGAGGGAAATGTTATAATATGGTAGCTTATATACAGATATATAGATATATTCCCTGATATTATCGATCATGAGTTTTTGATAGGCCCACTTAAGACCCTAACTGATCAGAATGGTTTCAGGGGTATGTGGTTATAGTTCATCCATGGGCATCCTACTTGATGGACGCCACCAAAGTGTACCAATGCCGATGCGTAATAAGCATTTGAAACGATGCTTCACACGCCATATTACGTAAAGCGGCAGTTATGATGCTTGGCAAACATCACTACTCTAAGCAAGGTCCCACCTTCCACGTATTTGATTATCAAGGAATGATTGTCTCTCATAAAAACAAATGATCAAATGATTGTCCGGGTCTTAAGTTTTACTATTAGTTGCGGAGGGGCTGCTTTGTAGTTTGAATGGCTATCACTCGATTATTTTCATTAGCTTCAATAAAAATATAAACATGTACTGATGTGGGTTAGCTTGGCCTAGCCCACATCGGGCTGGGAGGCCAAGCCCATTGATACCTGATAGCGTCAGCCACAGCAGGAGAGAGCCTGGTTGCCTTCATATGGAGCCAATCACATAACCGTCAGATGTATTTATCATGGCCTACGGCCTGACCTTGTATGGCTCTCATCCAGGAGCTACTTTGGCTCTTGCTCAAAAAGACATTAAGAGAAGTTTAGCCTATTCTACAATGTCTCAATTGGGTTATATGATGTTAGCTCTAGGTATGGGGTCTTATCGAGCTGCTTTATTTCATTTGATCACTCATGCCTATTCAAAAGCCTTATTGTTTTTAGGATCCGGATCAATTATCCATTCAATGGAAACCATTGTTGGATATTCTCCAGATAAAAGTCAGAACATGGTTCTTATGGGCGGTTTAACAAAATATATGCCAATTACAAAAACTGTTTTTTTATGCGTTCATCTTCACTTACCCCAGCACACTCAAGTATAAAAGGTAATTGCCCCTTAAAGGGGGCTAGAACAAAGAAACTCAAACATCACTCATTCATTTACTCCTAACACCAACTTTGCCTTCTTAGCATTAATTCGGGGAGGTCTGGTGCATCCAAGGACTCCCTCTAAGGGCTCTCATGCACCCTTCCCTACTCTACACCTCGTACTAACTTGAGCGTCGGAGCCTCTGCCTCAGGTATCCACCCCGAGGCCTCTGACACTCCTTGTCTTGCAGTATCTTCGGTCACCAGTGGCTTCGCCTCGACTTGTAGTCCTCGTCTACCATAGTCCTCAGAAGGAATACTTCGCCTCAGCTTCCAATCCGCGCGGCAACATGTACTATGCATAGGAATTGAGGGGGAGTATAAGGCCATGTTTGGTTCAATTCTCGTTCTTTCTCATTCTAGCTATGATGAAATTCTGAAATGGACAAGAATAGGCTTGTTCATGGGCCAGGTAGCTCAACCCGACCCATTATTAAGTTGGGCTTGGTCATAATTTTACGTTTATGGGCTTGTGCTCAGGCCTATAACACTAGGCCCAATTTTTTTTTGGTCGAGTTCGGGCTTTCTCAAAAAAAACCTGACCCAAGCCTAAGCCCGACTTTTTTTTAGGTCAGGCTTGGGCTTTCTCAAAAAAGCCTGGCCCAAGCCCAAGCCCGACTTGATACTATATATTAATAATACAAATATATTTTATTTAATAAAAATAATATATATTATTTTTTCTTTGTTCTTCTTCTCTTTTTTCCAAGTAATAATGAGATGTTTATTATTTTTGAGTTTTTAAGGTTTTTAATATAAATAAAACACTTTTTTAATAAAAAAGAAAAAAAAAATTGTTTTCAAATTTTTGGTCGAGCCTAGGCTTCAAGCTTTATATGAGGGTCAGGCTTGGGCTCAAGACTTAGGCCCGATGGTCGGTTGGGCTTGGGCTCGAGCTTTAGTGTATTCTGCTGATACACATACAAAGCCCGGCTTGGCCTAGCCCATGAATAGGTCTGGACAATAATGGGTAAAATGAGAAAATATTGCTATGAACCAAACGTTTTTTTTCCAGAAAAATGAATTCTTTTCAAAATAACAAGTGTTTTATGTTACTCCTTTTCATTCTTAAAAACATTGTGTTACCAATTGGACTAGATTTGGTCCAATTCGGTCCAATTCAATATTGGTCCATTTACAAATAGAATGAACCAAATCCATAGAAACAAGTCCAATCTTAGTCCAAATAAAATGCAAATGGACCAAATTGGGTTCAATCCAATCCAAATTGAATCAAACACCAAAATAACATGAAAAAATCCATAAAGTATATAAAAAAACTACAAACACCGAATGCAATCCAATCTAGTCCAATTAAAATGCAAATGGACCAAATTGGGTCCAATTCAATGCAAAGTGGATGAATAAAAGCACTTTTGTAAAAGTACTTCGGTAAAAGTGCTTTTGTAAAAGTGTTTTCATAAAAGTATTTTTGTAAAAGTACTTTTGTAAAAGTGCTTTCATAAAAGTACTTTGATAAAAATACTTTCATAAAAGTGCTTTCGTAAAAGTTATTTTGTAAAGGTACTTTCATAAAAGAGTTTTTGTAAAAGTGCTTTCATAAAACTATTTTGTAAAAGTGTTTTTTTATAAGTGATTTTGTAAAAGTACTTTTGTAAAAATGCTTTTGTAAAAGTACCTTTCATAAAATTACTTTTATAAAAAATGCTTTTGTAAAAGTACTTTTCATAAAATTACTTTTATAAAAAGTGCTTTCATGCAAAAAGTACTTTACTTTCATAAAAGTAATTTTCATAAAATTACTTTTATACAAGTGTTTTCAAGAAAATGTTTTCAGATAAGTGTTTTTATCTGGGTACCTTCTAACCACTAGCATATGGTTTCTTTAAAGAATGGAAATGGGCAGATGGGGCATGATTTTTTTAATGTTGCAAGCTACCCCAGTTTTTGTGCAATGTGTTGATTTTTCATTATGAAAAGAATGAGGCCGATGGCAAGAATTTTGCAACCAAACGCTATAATGCTATTCATTCTTGCTCATATGAGCAATAATTAAAAAAAAAAAAAAAGATGCCCTAAGCAGCGAACCAAACCTGGCCTAAAAGCGATTTATTAAATACTACATCTCTATTTAGTGTTAAGTAAATGTTGGAGATAATGAGATTTGTTGGAAGATGTACTTAGGAAAGATTGTTGAAGTGTATTTTGGAGCTGAACCTTTGAATGGTTCATAACTCAATTTTGTAAGATCCTCTCTTGTCAATCTCTACCCTACCCTCTTTGCTAAAGACATAGCAATCTCTACCCGTGCGAAATGAATGAAAAAATAATAGTTAAAACTATAACTAAATTCATTAATGCAAATCAAGTATACAATTTGGGATAAAAATATCGACTTTACCCCAAGTAGGGAAGAACTTGAATTTAGGCCATTAGAAAGTGGTTTGATTGATGCTTGACAATTTAAGATTACTTTTTTGTTATTACTTACTCATTTATTTGTATGTGTGTTATCTACTATCTTTCGTGCCCTTTTTTTGTATTGTATATAATTTGCACTTTTTACTACTTCATCAAAAAATATAAAGTGGGTTGTGTTGTATCGACATGACACAATTTTGTAGGTTGTCTATGCTTTAATAGGTTGTGCCATACCGGCATGTGGTCCTGGGTGGGTCGTGCCCTACCTGGCCTGAAACTCTTCAAAGGTTAGGCCTGCAGCACAAGCTCATACGGGCTCGACCATAGGCCGGGGTGTGAAAGGCATGGGTTTTTTATTAAAAAATTGAAAAAATATTAAAAGGTTAAATAAATTAATAGAATAGACAAGAAATTGAAAAAAAATCTTAAAATTTTATTCTATATGAATTTTGATATATACAATTGTTTAGATATGGAATTAAAAAAGTCACAAAATAATTTGAATAAAATAGTATAATAAAATTGAATATATATTCTCTCTATTTATATATATATATGCATGTTCCATGATGGGCTGCAGACCTATACCAGCATGGTCCACTTTTTTATTCTATATCGTGTTGACACATGAGCCTTAAAACCCAACCTGACACAACATGAGGGCATGGGCTAATCCAATTGCTACAACGACTGGGTTGTGTTGGATATAACCCACTTTATAGTTTCACATTTATAAGAGATCAAACATTGGAATAGCAAAAAATGGTGAAGGTAAAAATGAAAGATTGCAACTTTGGTCGATAGTCAGTATGCTAACGGTTAATATTCATTTTTATTGGAGAAAACATTGTTTCATCGTGTACATCCCATTTAATGATATGTTAAATAAATATTAGAATAACAAAAGTATAGAGGGTTAAAAGAGATCATGATTCAATCTAATCCAAAGTTTGGTCCCATTTTATTGGGTTTGGATATCTTCATTGTGGATTTTCAGATCTGATTGGGTAATCAGATCCGATTAAAAACCGAATCGGCTTCGGATCACCCTAGTCTGATTCAAAAGGATCTAGCATGTTATTTATATTATTTATTTTTTTATAAAAAACACATATATATGATGAAAATATTTGAAAAATACTTTTGTTATTTGTTTTTTATTTAA